GCTAGGCTACAACCATAGAGGCTACAACGTTAGTTAGTCATAGTACTGTACTTGACCCTTTAGCTTTAGCCGTGTTCGTGGTGATTGTGCCTTTTAGGGAATATTGTTACAAATACCAGACAATTAAAATGTCGGCTCACTCCGATCGGGCCACAAGGTCCACCGTTACCCCGCAGCGAGGCTCCTCCCCGTTGACAGTTCACTAGAATAAATTGAAGATGTTGTTTAATTGCTGATATATTTATGATCCACGTCACGTATTCAGTTTCGGTGGCAGTTCTTCCAGTTTTTCTAGAAATCTTCTAATCAGGGCTCTATAAATAAATAACTACGGCAGATGTGTAATATTTAATGCAGCCGAACCGTTTATTACAATGCCGTTATGTGATGACTTTCAAAGAGAAAAGCAAGTACACTCTGATTAAAGCATAATTTTCTTTAAAAAAAAAGTTTTTCGGATTTCATATCGCATAAACACCATATCCCAACGTGCATTGCGGCTAAACAATCCAATCACCAAGCTTAAACCATAGCTGAGGATCTTGGGTAATCAGTTCAGTGGGTGTGTATCTGTTTCCGGGGGGGGGGGGGCAGTCGATCGCCGGAGCTGTATTAGATTAACATTAACATGCTTATTGTAGTTGTAAGTGCACTGTCTTGATGGAGCATATGTGTGGGCTGGACCTGTATTATACAGGGAAGGAGTGAGCAGAGGGTAGAGTTATAGATTCTTGTTCTGTTTTCTGTGACTATCTGCCTCACCCTCTCAGACTTTCAGTTGCGCGCTACTAAAGAGATGCGCTACCATGGAAACCAAACAATGGTGTAGCTGTATTAAAGTCAGAGTGGAAACAGTCGTGAGTTAATCTGATTTTGTCAGAAATCGGGAAAAATGCGGGAGAAATATGACCCCGGGAGGAAACCGGGAGAGGGCAATGAAATCGGGAGTCTCCCGCGAAAATTGGGAGGGTTGGCAAGTATGGTGGTGCAGGCACGAAACACACTACCAATAGAAATACATTGCTTTTAAAATCGTTTTGTGTGACACGAAAAAAAGGGGAAAATCGTGTTGGTGAACACGAATCAATAGATTAAATGTCGTGACTATAACACGAAATGCCATGAGACTGGGTTGGACAGGCTGCAGGATGCCAGGACAGATACTACTGTATCTATTAATATAAACATAGTAGAGCACCTGAAAACGTTTCAAATTCCCGGTACGGGTAATGGTGTCAATATTGTTTGTGTGTTGGATACCTAACATACACTCAACATGAGGAAAATGTGCAATTCTCACTTCTTACACTGCAATACCCTATTAGCTATTTTGTATCATCCATTTCAATATAACCGTTCTTTCACTGGAGTATAAAGTGCTCCACTGAAAGGTAGGAGTCCTTATCCTCTTTCAAACACCCTGTTCATGGCATGACTCTGACGCTCTTGCTAGCTTGTCTCAAACATAGCTCACTCGTTGGCAGTTAGCTCCCTGGCAGTTTTCTTACTAGCTAGACAAGTTAACTCCCCCAGCTAACCAAGCTTCTACAACACCTATGTGCACGGTCAAGCAGCAGAATTTTCCGTACTACATTCTGGTTTGTGCAGAGTTTAATAGTGTTTTATACTGTCAGGAATTTGTTCGTTCAACTTTAGGGTAAGAGCAACACTCACTGCTGCATTTCTGATGATATAATTGAAATTTGCGTGATTTGTCTGACAAATGTAAGCACATCACCATCCCCTTTGCAACTGTGCTCTAAACAGCTCTGCCTGTGGGATTGGTTGATGCTTCAGCCTTTCAAAACAACTTGCAACCCTCCCTACAAAATCAACACTTGCACCCTTCTCAGAAGTATTCCAAGTAACCACCACATTCTTCTCCGTAACTGCTTATCTGAGTTGCCCTTCTGTTTTGAAAAATCTCTTATTTTTCTGTGTACCTGTAAACAAGACATTCCTGTAGAAAAAGCATGCATTCTAAACCAGCCATCTCTGTAAATATGGGTTACATGGTTGCTTCAGGAAGTAATCATATGATACAGGGGAAGAGAGCATACAAGGCATCCAGATGTACAGCATATACAAATTGTATAGAAACATATTACATAAAGAGCAGCATGTGGTCGGGGTTGTTGAAGGGCATGAATGAATCTTACTTTAAATACTAGCGAATATATAGCGATAGGATCAAACATACACTCTTACTTCTGGGTATTTTTCTCGGAACACAACCATCTTCAAACATCTTTATTTTGATTCCAACTACACTTCTGTAAAGTGCTGTGTTGACAAATAGAACCAGGGGTGTAAAGTGGGGGCATAGAGAGGCAAAGTCCCTCCCCTTCCGGTGGACCTCCATGGGACCTTATTTCGGAAAAATTATGTATTGAAGTCAATGGAGAGAGAAAGATTATCTTTCGATTCTGTTTGAATTGTGCCACGAATTACACATATGTGACCTGCTCTATCGAAATCAGTCGCATTGACCCGAAGACACATTTTGAGTTGTATACACTGTTGGAAAGAGGAGAGTCCTAGCTTTCTAATGATATCAGGATTGTTGTTGTGCTCCAAATATTAAGCAAAATATGTCACATACTGTAATGACTGTTACCGAGTCGTCATTTTGAGAAAAAGGCCTTTAAAGTTTCCTCTTCTCTGGAATCCATCGATCTGATTGATTATTAGCGGAGCAAATGATCAAAGTACTACGGAGGGAAGATATTTTCATTTGGATTACTGGTGTGGGGGAAGCTCGCGAGTGTGTGTGTGTGTGTACGTGTGTATTTTTGCGTTTCTGTGTATTGTGTTTGTTTCCCGGGGAAAACCCTCACGAGAAACACCGGCTGTTGTTATGCCTGCTGTGACGTCAAGTTACTCCGTTCTCCGCTTGTAATTATGCCGTCACAAGCTTCAAAGCTGTATTTATCATCTGAATTTGCCGAAACAAGTTTAATGTTCTGAAAGCCAAGACTTTGTTTATTTGAAATCAGATGAAAACAAACTGTAACGGACCCTGCCGTGTTATCTATGATCACTATACGCCTTACATTCATAATTTCAGCGGAGGGAGGGGGAGCGGCGCTGTGGAAGAGCAGAGTGGCAAGTGAGAGCTGTCATCTTCCCTTTACAAGCTTCAAACATGTATTTATCGTGTGATTTTGGAAATAAAAGTTTCATATTCTGAAAGCCAAGACTTTGTTTGTTTAAAATCAAACAAAACACCCGAACCCCGAAAAACTATTTTTTTACGCAAATCCACATTTATTTTGAAATGAGCCGTTGCGACTTCCGACTGATTTCGATAGAGCGGGTCACATATGATGTTTGTCAATTTAAAAGATAATTTTGCTAGTCAAAAAAAAAAAAATGTGTCGTAAAACTGTGAAGTAACACTTTTTTTTGGTGTGAAACCGCTCAATGAACTACATCTCTCGTCTCACACCACACACCAAGATGGCCGTCACGTTAGCACATTTCACTTCTTTCTTTCAGAATGAGGCGAAAAGTATTAAAAGAGGTGAAAATCACTCCAAGTCTGGACATGTTGAGAGCTGTACATACACACAAGGGGAGTTAGTCTGTTCCGTAAGAGCCAGCATGTGGGACCGGGATTCTGGGATTTGTAGTCTTTCTCGTTGCGTATTTTTCATAGTCTTCATAGTTTTCATAGTCTTACGACAAACTGTGACTTTTTTGACATGGAAATTATTTGTTAAGATTGACAAACATCATATGTGTAATTCGTGGCACAATTCAAACGGGACCGAAAGATAATCTTTCTCTCCCCATTGACTTCAATACATAGCCTACTTTTTCCGAAATAAGGTCCGATGGGTCGGAAGTAGATGGGCGGGACTTCGCCTCTCTATTAAGTTTCGGACCTTGTACATTTTCTTTTTTGATCTGAACTAAAACAAAAACAAGTTTAGTGACTGCATCTTGCAATGTAGTGACGCTTTTTCAGTGACACATTCTGTCCGAAGACAAACAGACACATGGCCAAAGTCTCAAAAACCTCTCCTTTGGTAGTTCCTGCTATACAGTAGGAGCTCAAGGAGGACATGTTGCCTCTGTTACACACAAACATCGCTGTCAGGGCAGGTAAATATGTCAGAGAGATTAAAAAAAAGCCACTGAAACACATGTCCTATTTGTGTAACGCGTGCCACTGTCGCCGTCATGACGGGTCCATATGCTGGACCCCTGTCTTTTATGGTGTTGTTGACTAAATGCCCCTAAGACCTGTTATTACTGCTTCCTGCCCTGCAGAGGAGGGGAACTCAGCAACCTCTCTTTCTCTCTCGCCTAGCCAGAAATCTGAGCTGGGTGCACTGAAGCAAAACCAAAACACTCCGCTGTCATGCTGCATGCACGGAAAGGAGAGCACATCAGGTGGTGGCTGCAAAGTCATGAATGCTACTGCTGAGCAGGCACAACAATAATGATAGTATTTTTTTTGCACGTAAGAGCAGCTTCCGGCCTAATTACAGTGACAGGCCAGCTCCTGTGTTTAAAACTAGACATTTTTTTTAATTACAACATAAGCGCCAATTGTCCAGATGATTCAGAGGAAATAGTGTGTATTCAGTGCGGTTGTGAGCGTTGTTAGGTGCACATTTTGCTTTAGAAAATAACTTCTTAAAACTAAAAGTAATTCTTAATACAAAAATGTGCATCGGTGTATTTTTCTGCAGCAAAAAAAGATTAATTCGGCTCCAAAGATTGCAAAGGAAAACAGTTGAAAACGTGTGTGCATGTGTGCGCCCTGTGTGTGTTTAGGGGGGGGGGTGGGACCCTTGTAGCGACAGAAAGAATGGAAAAAGTAAACACTGCAGATTCCATAAAACATGCAAAATAATAAATCATTCCCCATGCGTGCAACACGTTAAACCAAACCCAATGCAATCATCCTGCACCCGAACATAAACAAAGTAAACCTACTTAGTTTTTTCTGCTTTGCAACAAGTTTGAAAAACGAGTGTCCTCAAACTCACCGGTGCTTTGTACCTGCTGGATCCCCGCATTGGAAGACAAAGTGTGCTCTGCAGGCAATGCAGTGCAAAGACGCAGCAGCACACGGCCAGAGAAGTCCGCATCCTCGCCCCGTCAGGAACCGAGCTGGTGCACAGGCAGGCTGGTTTTGGCGCCGGAGGAACGGTGAGCAAAGCCGGGAGTCACACGGCTGCAGATTCCGGGGCTACGTCTCTTTAAATAGACTCTGATTTCTTTGTTCTCCTAAAGGTTTTTTTCCTCCACTTACACTTTTTTTTTTTTTTGTACAGCCCAGTGCTGATAATACCACCCGCTACCATGTGACTCTTAACCCTTTCTCTGCCGCGTGCCGGCAACTCAAAACATATGAGAGCTTTGCTTGATTCACCCACCTGTGGTTATTGATTATGAAGAAACCATATATTTAGTTATTTAATATTTCTTAAATACACACGGCATTTAACATTGTAAACAGAGACAGCAGTGGACAGGCACACTGCAGGGGATATTATAGGATTAGTATAAGAGTATTATTACACAAAAACCTAGAGTAAAACTAACCAGCAAACCAATCAAAAAATACAAATCCTCTTTATGAGGGGAGAAATATATAATCAATGTTAAACAACACCGACGAGTAGGCCTACCTTATTGGAAAGACACTGAATACCCCACATTTTTTTTTTTTTTTAAATGTTATTTTTCATTTAACTAAAAGTCCTTCATGTTTCAGCTCCCTGTGGAGCTGTGGTGGAAAAAGTATTCAGATTCTTTACTTGAGTAAAAGTACTAATACCACACTGTAGAAATACTACATTTTAAGTAAAAGTAGGCCTACTGCATCGAGAATGGTTCTTAACTAAAAGTACTTAAGTACGCTTTAAAAAAATGTACTTGTACTGAATGTATAAGGTTACTAGAAAACAAATCTGTAAAATAAACGTAGTAGAGTAAACAAAAAAAAATAGGCTTACAAATGTATGGTAGAAATATAAAGTAGTATAAAATGAAAGTACTTAGTAAAAGTAAAAGTACCTGAACTTAAAAACAGTATTGAGTAGATGTACTTAGTCACTTTCCACCACTGCTGTGGAGACACTTCATTCTTCATTCCAATTTTATTTTGCTTATTTTGCTTAAAAACCTCTTAACAATAGGGATCTGACTTTGACGTGGTCAATTGGTTACGTTCCCCGTTAAGTGCAGGGCTGGGGTCAAAGGAATAGCTTAGTTTAGCATAAAGAGTGAAAGCAGATGGAAAGTTAGCCTGGCTCTGTCTAAAGATCATTCAAACACCTACAGTACAAGGGGCCCTATTATGCTCACTTTCAGGGTTCATATTTGTATGTTGTGCCTCTGCTGTGACATGTCTCCATGCTTTAATGTTCAGCTCTTTATTTTTCTCATACTGCCTGTGCTGCAGCACCTCTTTTCACCCTCTGTCTGAAACCAGAGCCCAGTCTGCTCTGATTGGTTAGCTGGCCGGCTCTGTTTTGATTGGTCAACCGCTTAGAGATGTCCCACTCCACCCCTTAACTTATCATGTAAAATGTGTAAGATCTTTAGCCAATACAAGCGCAAAGTGTTAAATAGTGATGTCACTACGTTGCAGAAGTAAACAAAGGAGTCAAATGGAGGCGTTTCAGGCAGGGGGGGTGTGTGGGAGAGAATCTCCCTCTGGAGGGAACGTTTGGATTTTAGCCTTTGCAGACCATTTACATGCACAAAAACCTTTTTTCAGAATGTCAATCTATTGATAGAGCAATACTAATGATTTGAACTGATTTTAAAGGGGAAGCAATAAGTATAAAGTGTATATTTTGTACAAGAAATGTGATAAAGACACTGTGTGTGGTAAAGAGAAACAAAAATAGAAATCTCTTAATTTATTTTCGCAGCTGTCAGATGAAATGCTCGGCCCACTGGGGGTTTCTGACCCACCTCCGTCCCCTTGTGCAGAAAAGAAACCTTCTGTGAGTCAGTTTGAGATCATTTCTATAATTACAACCACTAATAGCAGTAAAGAATTTAGATTTCCTCTCTAATGGCTGTCAGGTTTTTTAAAGCGATTTGGACATGAAAAAAGGGCTCTAATAAAATCTGAATGCCTGACAAGGAATTGCAAGCTCTGTACCACATCAAGCCCGTTATCTTCTAAATGTAATGAAAGAGAAAAGGGAAAAGCTTTATAAGAAAGTGACACTTGTAATTTCCTTACAGGAAACTATAATTAATGTTACTGGATGCAGATGTGTAACGTACATATGCTAATTTAAGTAACATGTAAAGCATACCCTCAATCGGTCAGACCTCATTACCCTCTTATTTAAGTTGTTAGTGAGTTGGGTGACATAACATAGTATCACAATAACATGTAACAAAAATAACAGTCATGGATTTATGTTGCTGTTTTCAACAGTTTTATAGTTGTACAGATCATTGGTCCAAAAAACAATAACAGCTTCAGAGAACAACTTTGACAGTCGCAGCGGAAAAACACAAAGGGCCAATGCAGGGTACCTTAAAGGGGACCTATCATGCTAAATGCACTTTGTGATGTCTTTTATACATACTACATATGTGTCCCCGGTGCGTCGGGAAACTCACGCAGCGTCAGAAAATAAAACCCTCTCTCTTTTCCTCCGTACCCAAATCTTTTAAAAAACGGGTGTACAACGAGCGGATACAGATTCCATCCAAACTGACGTCAAATCGGCGGCAGACCCACATAAAGTTGCTATCAGAAACAATGCCTGACGTGTTTTGGACGTAATCTCGCCTTTGTTTACATTAGCAAGCCTCGCTAACTCTCAGAGCTAACCTGTACTGTGTAGAGCAGTGGTTCCCAACAGATGATTTGAGGTCAAATATCATATTTAGACTTTTTATTTTTTTACATAGAATTGTAACGCAATACATGATTGTCACTAAAAGCCTTGTCTCTACATTACAATAAAATATAAAAAATAATTGATTAATTAATTTGAATAAAAATTCAAGTTAGTATTAAAGGCATAAAAAGACAGAAATGTATAATTCTTTCTTTAATAGAAATGTTTCCTCTGCCCGTAAAGTGTCCAAACCAGGCTTGTCTGGATAAGCGCATTTTTAAAACATAGTCATTGTCCATGCCGGTTTCAGTTCAGTTGGATTATTTGTCACAGTTGCTCCGATCAGATCAGTCTCCTCCATTTTGTAGATTATTTACGACTTTTGAATCCACATAAACACATCGGCAAAATCCGGCTTACTTTGAGCATGTGTTTTAAACAGTTTAATCCCTATGTGAATTGTTTCCACTTGTGCCGTCCTTTAATTTCTTAATACAGCGGGAATCCAATAACCATCAAAGTCACTCCAATAGTGCTCCTTAATTACACTTTCATCCTCCTTTAACAAAATACTTCACATTCATCCAGTTTGTGACAGTAGTTGTAGCATTTTTGAGACTTTGAAACTTGAATTACCACTGTTGCCCCCCCCCCCCCCTCGTGTGTGTGTGTGTGTGTGTGTGTGTGTGTGTGTGTGTGTGTGGGGGGGGGGGCAACTTCCAATAGGAGTCATTTTGGGGGGCTCTTGGGAAAAAAGGTTGGGAACCCCTGGTGTAGAGCACATGTGTTTAAAAAGCAGGAGATAAAAAAGGAACTCACCTTGTGATAAACCTGCAAGAGAAAAGCATTTGAGCTCCATACTCTTTCAGAAATAATCCTTGACGTGGTTTAAACCGGATGGCGTTTTATCACAGCAGAATTTAACTTTATCTCCGGTAGAATTCTGATCAGGCATTAGCTCCGCCTCCTCTTCTTCTTCTTTTTTCAAGCTAAGGACCCAAGATCCGCGTTTCTCTAACAGGGCTGCAAAAGAGGGGTTTGAGCAGTATGAGCAAGGGTGTAACTTTGGTTTGAGAAGTGGGGGGGGACACAAAACAGGGGGTCCTCCGCTATGAAACATTGTTCTCGATTTAATTCCATTTCCTGCCTTTCTACAAATATATATTAGGGACTATAGTGTTAACTAATCCAAGACAAATGTGTAGTGTATATAATGAGTGTGCAAACTTATCTATCCATGAACCAGTTTTATTTGTGATGACCTCACATCCTATAGGGGGGTCCGGGGGCATGCACCCCTGGTAAGATTTATTTCTTTAAATTGCAGTTAAAGGCATCAATCTGGTGCACAAATTAAGAGATTTATGGATACAGCTCTCAACACTCATATGACACAGAACTGTATATATTTCAATACTCCAAAAACCATTAGAATATGCTCACAACCAATAACACATCATTGATATACTCCTCTCTCCTATCTTTATCTTACCTAGTCTGCATTCTTTCTTTTTATTTATGCATATTTTACTAATCACTCCCCTTTCAAACTGTGTTTTGAATTTTTTACTGACATTGGAATGATTTTTTTACTTATTTTGAACAACTATATTAAATAGATGGAAATATTTGTTTAGACCAAACCGTTTGAGACCCACTGAGATAACTTAGACTAAAGTTTACAATATAATCACTCAGCGAGTCCTTTACCTTCCTGAGCTGACGTTATCTCTGAGGAATCTCCCTCTCCTTATTGTTGAAACAGCTTCTAATCTCCGTTAGCTCCGAGCTAGCACCAGATGCTAACAACAACCCCCGTAACTCTCTCTGTCTCTCTCTCTGTCTCTCTCTCTCACACACAAAATGTGCTCCTACCACACACACAGACGCTCTTCTGTGACGATGACCACTTGCGTAAAAAAAAAAACACATTTGAAAAGTGGGGGGGACACAAACAGGATTTTGAAAAGTGGGGGGGACATGTGGAAATTACGCCCATGAGTATGAGGCATGGCTACAATGGGTGATCTGTTTGGTATTTTGAAAAAAAAACTTCACAGACATGTTTTGTATAGGTATGGCCCTACAATATATGTTTCAAATATAGCATGATAGGTCCACTTTAAGGAATGTTTCAACACTTTTGGGAAATATACTTCTTTGGCTCTGTCCTAAGTCAAATGAACCGTATACTGTACTGGCTCAAAAGAGGGGCCTTAGCATTTTTATGTAACCTGTAGGCCACCACAGATTCTCCGACCCCCTTGGAAAGTGAAGGTCCAACCGAGGGGTATTCAGTTGGTTACAACCTCATTGTTTAATGCCACTTATTGTACATACTGGACTTTTAAGTAGCAAACAGCAAACTTAGATTTTTCCCATGGCAAT